CAGTAAAAAAGTGGTAATCAGCTGGTGACATCTGCCAAGAAAGTAGAAAAGACGATTGGTGGCAATTTATTCTATTGTTCTATCCCTGACACATGTCATCCTAAGCGGTGCTGTCAATTCAGGGATTCTGCTGGACCCTGCTAGGTATGCTCTAACCTTGGATTAGCACAAGTGGAGGTACTCAAATATGACATAGGTGTGAGCTTAGGAACCTGTGCTGAAGTATTGTATTCTGAGAAGAGATTGCCAGGTGGGTCTGCATTACTGGGGCTGGTTAACCCATCATGTAGATGGGACTAGCATCCCCAAGTTCTACTGGCCTTTCCTTCACACTTCAACCAAATAGTTGGTTTTTTTTGTTTCGTTTTGTTTTGTTTTCTTGTCTCTCTCTCTCTCTTAAAAAAAAAAAAAAACAAAACTTGTATGTATACAGCAAAGGTGCCTTGTTTCTGGATAGACTTGATTCCCTATTACCTGCCAAGGTGTTCGGTGTTCTAGATACAGCTTTCTCTGCCAGCTCTGTGCCATCATCTCTGAGCCAACTTTTATCAATGTACCAGCAGTATCTTGAAGCATATTTTTTTTACTTTTTGAAAAGTTAAACAGCCCAAGACCAGGGTTTGCTGCTGCAGTTCTGCTCCCAAGCAGATGTTGATTCAATTATCAGCATTCTTTGGATATGGTCAATGCATTTTTATTACTGCACCCAACTGTTTTGTAAGTATTCTGTGAGAGAGCTTGATACATGTCTGGTTGAAATTTGGGTAAGCATCTACACTGCCAATCTTGTGAAATCCTGACTAGAAATGAAGTTGGAGGTCATCTTGTCAAACCCACTTATTTGATAGAAGAAGACATTGAATGCCAGCCAGAGAGAGACAGAGAGAGAGTGATGGCGAGCAGGTGTCCCTCAAGATCACACACCTAGTTAGTGGTAGAGTGAAGACAAGGACATCAGCCTCCCATCTTTTGAATTCAGTATTCCTCTCTAGTCACCATCAAAGTGCTGTGAGGTCAACTGGCTGGCATGATTCTTTCTATTTACAGACAAGTAAATTAAAGCTCAGAGAGATTAGTGGTCATTCCCCAGACTGTATAATGAATGAGGGGTGGAATTGGTTTTGGTGTTCTGGTTTTGCTAGGGATGAGAATTTACTTGTGAATAGAATGTTTAAAGAGCACAGCAGTATAGCGCAGTCTCCATGAGATTATGAAGAAGTGTGAGCTTATAATCATTGAGTTCCATGATTTTTTTTCTAATAATGTTTTGTGGCAAGGCCATTCAAGGCAAAGGAGGCAAACAGGATGACCCAAGCCTAGTCACCACAGCAAGCAAAGATACTTTAGGGGTTTGGGGCTCTCCAATATAATCTTAAAGCAAGTAGCAGCAAAGTGATTTGAGGTGGCTGTAGTTTGAAAAATGTAACACAGATTGAGTGAAACTAAAGGGTGAGGAAGGAATATTAGCAGCAAGGGAGGTGGTGCTCAGAGCTGAAGAATACCATCCTATCGCCTTGAAATGTGTTTCAAGAAGTAATTGTTCTAATGTTTATTGTGAAAATGTATTCTCAAGAAGTTTGGCTAACACATATTCATTCACAGTAGCTTAGAAGTTCTTTAAGGGCAGTATTCATGCCTTATTTCACTGATTATGTAACCCTTGGACCTAGGACCATACATGATATATGGTAGACATTTCATAAATGTTCATTAAATGACATAAACAAGAAGACAGGTGGTCTTCTCCGTGAATGACTGATCTGGATGATGATCAAGGACCATAAAGTTTGGAACAATCAGAGATCACAAAGCCAGTTTTCAGTACAGGGATGTATAGAGGGGCTGTCCTCCATTATTTGGGTGCAATGAATGGGCTCTGCAACACGATCCCTCACCCACGGGGGCGACAAGCTTGGAGAAGCCTAGGGATAGTTGACTCTCAAAGGCGGTGAAGCACAGCGCTGCAGGAAGTTACCCATATTGTGTGAAAATGAAACAGACCATCCTACAAGAGAGTGGGTTCTCCATCCCCAGTGGGTTTCTAGAAAACCCATAGAACCACACACAGATGCCGTAGAGATGCCTTTGCTGGCCATGAGATTTCAGTAGATGATCTCAAAGTTTTGCTTCTCTCTAATTCTGAGATCTTAAAAGCCAACTCTGCGATAGAGATTGCTTAAATAAGTGCAAAGTGGTATAACAATTTAAGGACTTACTATTATGTATGTGCAAGGAACTGTGTCCAGTGTATATCTCTGTGATGCTATGAAAGATTAGGCCAAACTCACCCTCTGCATATCTACACATTCGCAGACTAAATCCTTTCCCACTCCGCTCACACCTCAATACCTGTCACCTGCCCTGTCTCTTGTCTCTCCCTGTGACTGTGTTTATCTTGCTCTGAAGGCTTTCTCGAAGGCTCTCTCCCTCCTTTCAACTCTAAAAATCCACAATCCATCCTACGTTAAAGAAAAGTCTTCATTTGACCTTCCTGTCCCTTCCAACTTCTATTTGTCCGCCTGAGTACTGAAATAAGTACTTTACATCTTCTGTCTTAATTTTTGGGCTTCTGATCTTACCACTGAATTGAATCTGCAGTTTGGGCGTCACTAATTATCTCTCATGACCTAATTTAAATGTCTTACTTCAAGTCTAACCCTTCCTGAACTATTATTGAATGACGTTTATATTTCCCCCTTTCACCTCCACTCCCTGCAACTGTGAATGCTGCATCATATTCTTGTTGAATGCCTCAGTAATGCCTTGTTCCATAAGCTATAACCATTTCTGGTCATTTTTTCCCAATTCCATTGGTTTCTCTCCTTCCTCTCATTTTAAGTTTGGGTGCTGCTATTTTAGACATATGTTTTGCATACCTCATGCGCTCACATGGTTATAACCCCTTTTTACTTTTACACGGGATCTGTTTGAAATTTACATTTGCGGCCTCCACTTCTTCTCTCTTTGATTGCTTCATCTGTAAGCCTCCCCTGGAGAGTTCACTGGAGATTGAAACATGGCATGTTTTAAATAAAACTGGCCATGGCTGCCTCCTGCTTCTCTGAGTGCTGGCACCTCGGCAACCGCTGACATCCCTGGAAACTCTCCTGGGAGCTTCCCCAAAGGGAAGTCGTTGCTGAGCCTGTCTCTTTATCACAAACCTGCTGTGCCTTTCCTTAGAGCACCTCAGTGCCACTTTTTCTCTGCATGTTGGCAGGAGCTGCCCTGGCCCATGCCTGGTCAGTCCAGCACCTGGATCTGCACACCTACTTTCAGGCTTAGAGCTCTTCCCCCAGGGCTCCTCAGACTTCCTCATCCCTCCTGTTTCTTTGGAGCCTTGAGTGAGTGAATCTTCATTTTTCCAAAATGTAAATCTCTTGCCCTTGCCTGCTAGGCCCTCGAGCCCCTGCCAGTCTCCTTCCTGATCCTCCACAAGAAGCTCCCTTGGCTCCACTCCAGCCAGTCTGCCCCCACCCCAGCCAGTCTGCCCCCACCCCAGCCAGTCTGCCCCCACCCCAGCCAGTCTGCTCCCACTGCCAAGTGCCACTTGCTCATTTCCAGCTTTGCATGAGGCCTTCTGTGTTCATTTGCTCCGGCTGCCGTAGCAGTGCTCCACAGACTGGGGGCTTCAACAACAGAATCTGATTTTCTCACTGTTCTGGAGGCTGGAAGTTCAAGATCAAGGTGCCAGCAGGATTTGTTTGTTCTGAGGCCTCGCTCTGTGTCTTGCAGATGGCTGCCTGCTCACTGTGTCCCCACGTGGTCACTCATCTGTGTGGTTTGTGTCCTAGTCTCTTTTTATAAGGACACCAGTCCTATTGGGTTAGGGTTTACCCTACAGACCCCATTGAACCTTAATTACCTCTTTTAAGAATCTCTCTCCAGATATAGTCATATTCTGAAAACTTGGGGTTAGGGCTTCCCCATAACGATCTTGTGTTGAGGGCACACGGTTCAGCCCATCACACCTCCTCTTCCAAACTGCCCATCCGTCCTTTACTTCATCCCTCTCCTCGTTCTTTCTCTCTGTCTGTCCCTCCCTGCCATCAGCACCCAGTGATCCTCATTTCATTGTTCCCATTGGATGGTCTTTTCAGCCTCACCCTATGGGTTCATACACAGGTGTGTGTTGCTTCATGAACCTGCCTCTTTTCCAGGTCATTTCAGTTCTGCTCTCTGTCTCTGACTTGATTGAGAGCAGGGACTGTGTCTCTTGCATACAGCCCTTGACCTTGAAACCCTTGAGAAATGCCATTGTTAAGTTACTGTGAGTCCGTCCTCATACACCACCTCCTCTCATTTCTCGAGAGACTATTCAAGGGAAAGGCCTCACTTAGGGGCTTTTTTCCTGAGTGGTGATGGAGAACACAAGTGGTAACTCTGTGGACAGCCAGGAGGAGAAGGGCTGAGGCCCCATGCCCATGACATTCAGCAAGCTAACCTTTCCAAATCAGAAAGGCAAGGGAGGGATTCTGGGAAGCCCTAAAGGCAGTGGAGAATTCAGGGATTTTCTGCTGGACACAGTAAGAACAACTCTTCTCTCAGAAGCTTTGGAGAGCATGCTATTTCTTTGACCTAAGGGGTTGAAGATTCTGGCTAGAACCCACTTCCTCACCAAGCGGTAGGCTGGCTGGGAGGCTCCTGCTGGGAGTAGAGCCGAGCCTGTGAAGGGAAGCCCATTGTGTCTTGGTGGCCCACAGAGGAAGACAGCCAGGTGTCATGTGCTGGGAGTGGCATTATGATGGGCTGGCTGAGCCCTGAGTGTGTTTCTGGGCAGACTCCAGAGTGAAGGTCTTGAAGGTGGGTTGCTGCGGTCTTCCGCCGTCGTCCTAGTGACGCAGGACAAGAGTTTGAGGCCGTGCCCAGGAGAGACACGCCATTCAGTGAAAGATCCCCGCTTTCCTCATCCTCCCTCTTTCACCCTCCCATGCTTCCTTCCTGTCCCTTCATCCCTTTTCTTCTCTCTCCCCCTCCCTGCTCTCTCCCTCATTCACTGTCAGGAAGGGCCATACCAGAAGGGCCCGTTCAGCGTGGCGTGGCAGCGGCAGAGGCTGGCAGCAACGGCAGCTTCCACAGTGAGTCTGGATTTCATTTCTGGGGCCACGGGGCTGGGCAGGGCAGTCCACACACAGACTGACAGCTTGCAGGCTTTGGAGAGGCACTTCCATGGGCCAGGGCCTGCTTCCAACCTCTCTTTCCTTGCCTCCCACTGTGGGGCATCATTTAACTTCCATGGAAGTTTCCTGCCAAAGCCATTGATGTGCTTGGGGTGTCTCATGGGGAGGCAGCATGGTTGCGGGGTGGTGGGCCATAATCTGCTAAAATTAGGTGCACAGCTGGGAGAGCTGCCGGAGTTCACGTGGCTGCCAGGGTTTCTGTCCAGGGCTGTGCGTGCGGTGGAGGCTGGAGGCTCTGCATGGACGGTGGTTTGGCTGCTTTCTTGCATTTCAGGAGGTGTGACCTTGAGTCTTGCATACACACTGGGTGCCTACACTACACAGGAGAGTCTTGTAAGGAAATAAGCATGCCCTAAGTGCACAGACTAGAGGGTCTGAGAACCGGAGGTCTCCCCGTTGACCTCAGGTGAAGCGTGGTCTAACAGACTTGATGCTCAGGACGGTCATTACAGATCCTCTGTGACTGAGTCAGATTCCCCAGCGCTTGCAGGGAGGCTTTTGCCCTCCCCGTTTTAATTTCTATGGTAATTTCTGGCAGGGAGATGGACATACTGCAGAGTCAGTCGAAGTTCCATCTGTCTTGCCGTGATCATCAGACTGCATTGGATGGCTTCCTTCCACTTTTTGCTTGGGTGCTTTTTCTTTCTGTCTGGGGAATGGTCCACTTGGGAAAACAGAAGCAAAAAGTTCACCTACTCAGCCTTAAAGATCCCGCCTAGGCTAAGAAGACACCAGCCCTACTTGCCATCTTGAGGGGCTTTCCAGAGGCCAGAGGCTGTGTCCAAACACTGACGGGGCGTGTGGTAGTTAAGTCAGTTTTGAAGCGAGAAGCTTCTGGTTTCTAATATACGGTATTATCGTGACCCTGCAGTCTTATGGGCAGGTGCATGGGAAGGAAGGCTTTTACAATTTCATTCATTTCTCTCATCATTTGCTTAGGGAGGTAAATTAAGCATAGCCTCCCGGGTTTGTTCAGGATCAGTTTTATACGTTTCTCATCTTGACACTCCTCCTGATAACAGCATGAAACTTTAAGATTTTCAGTACTAACAATTGTGTATAGCTAGGGTATATCAGAACAAACATGCTGGGCAGCCCTGTGAGAATTTTGCAAGCAGGACCATTATGGAAAAATAATCAATGTGTTCTCACGCTTTTAAAATATTGTATGTATTTTAGTCACATCAGGTTCAAACTCTCGGTTTTAGGAACTGACAGGTTGCATGAAAATATCAAGTTGGTCAAATGTATTAACTTCAACAAATATTTAATATTCATCAACTGTATGTGTTTGATTGTGTAAAGTTGGACAGTTCCGAGAATGAAAAGGGACGCTATTGTTAATTAAATAGGAGCCACAGGCATAATTTAGACCTTTCTTGGTAAACTGGGGCATAGTCATTTTAGCCATGCATGCTGAGTTATTGTTGGTGCCAGCCATACAACGATGAAGAGAACAGGCAAAAGTCGCTGCCCTGCCCTTACTGAGGGTGATAAAATAAAGATAAAGTCAAACATGTAGTAAATTTAAGAGTGATCGGTTCTTAAGAGAGAAGTAAAGCAGACAGGAGAAAAAGAAGTGCTTGGAGGGAGTAGCAGTGGCAGCGTTGGTGGAGGTGGTTGTGCTGTGTGTGTGTGCAGTTCAGGTACGGAGGTCAAAGCAATTGCATTGCTTAAAGAATAGGATATATTTTAGTTTCTTTAGTTCCTCCAAAAAGGGCTTTTGTGGTTCAGCTAAAACTTACTGCATGGATGAAGTCATATCTGAAAATTCTGAGTCCAAATAAAGACATACTCACAAACTTCATGACAGAAAGCAAAGAGAGAAAACCAGGTGGCCGTAACATTGGAAGCATACCTTGTCGGCTTGATGGTCAGCACGGGTTTATCTCCCACTGACATCACTGAGATGGTATCAGAAAGTGAATATGGCTGTGGATTCATCTATTTGGGGAACATCTTTGCAGAAAGTCCCTTAATCTCTGACTTGTGCTGGCCATTCAGGGCATCTTAAGGCCTTTCCTTCTCCCATTTTCTGTGGGGTAATGGAAGGGCAGCTTACATCTGCTGAATACCTTCTCTAGCCAGGCACTTTGATGGAATTTTTAGTAAGTTAACTTATTTAATTTATGCTGTTGTATTGAAGACATTATTATAGTTCCACTTTGGGGAGGAAAAAGCTGATGTTTAAACTCAGAACTAGAAAATAGCAGAGCCAGGGTTAATCCAAGTTGAAATATATCTGAAATTCTGCCTTGATCAGTTAGCCTGAGCATCTTTCCGTAGAGACCAGTAGCAGGAAGTGGAAGTGTGAAAAGGACTCACTGGGTGACATGAATGTCCCACGTGTGGGCTGATTTGCATGGCTGGATCAGAAGCAGCAGATGTGTCCATGTCTTTGCTGATTGTGCATGAAGGCACAGCAACTTCTGCTGCTTTTTTGTGTGTTGTCATTGGAAATGGGGATGGGCACGGGCAAGTTTTGGGGCATGAGAGTAAATCTTCCTGCGTGGCTTTGCTCCTCTGCTGAGGTGGAGGCTTAACTTCAGTGAGTCAAAGTTCCTGGGGCTCACGCACATTGGAAGGAGGAGCCCTGCATGGTGTCTGTGGGGAGAATGCATGCAGAGTGCTGAGACTCAACAGAGGTTTTTTGACCAGGGTTGAGTCAAGAGTTGAGTTTGAAGATAATCCTAAATTTCCTGCCTGCCTTTGTAAATGTAATCCACAGACTGACCTCATCCAGTCTTAGGATGCTATTAGCATAAGCAGGATGTCTCTGGACCACATCTCAGATATGACGGTTGTGTTTTACCTCAATATCACTGTGTAACCTTGCATTTATCTGTGGCGTATTTCCCAGAAAACAAATAGGTAGCATCTTGTTTTATGCATAATATGGTAACCTCCTGAGAAGGTTGTGTGTCAAGCAAATCACCATGTAGATACACGAGAGAGACCTGCTACCACAAAGTAAAGAATTATTTTGGGATGCCCGTGACCCTCTCCAGCTTTCCTTTTGTGATAAAAGAGATTTCTACCTGCAATGCTATACTTTCCTTGGAGTTTTTGAATATATTTACCCCAGGGTCTCAATGCGTGTCAAGGCAATGTCTCTCCGTTTCACAACATGTATCGTAGGGGTGGAGAGAACTCATTACTCTTGTCATGCAGCAAGGATTTTCTTTTTCATGACATTGTTGCCATCACAGAAATATACTTCAGGCACTGATGCCCCTCGCTGTGGCCTTCTGACTGTTGGGTAGGACTACCTCATCAAGTTTTCATTCTTTACTGCTTAGGGATTGTTGTCTAGTTCCCCCCTCGTTTTGATACTTGAGAATTGGGGAGGAAGGCATCGTTCGTCTTCCTCCAAAGGATACTGCACTCTTATCTGAGTTCTCCCTCTGGTAAAAACAAATAAGCAGGCAAATTACCTTTTCTTCTAAAATATTAACCCATCTCAACACAGTTGGCTTCTCTCCTCTGCATCTGTGTGCTATGTGGAGTCCCAGCTGGGAATCGGGGTAAAGAGAAGTGTCTGGTATATTTCAAGCTGACAAGGATAGTCGTCCTTTTTCTGGTTACATATGGTCCGCCCTGCCACTCACACAGACAAGATATGTCTTAATTCCAGAAGGGAATTAAGCTGTAGCTAAAAGAATAGTACCCATGCCTTAGACACAAATCTGCAAGGACACCTGGTCATGAGTGTCCCTCGGTCTGGGAATCTGCTTAGAGACTTGGTCATGGACGCATCCTTTACAGCAGCATGCTGGGATCTCAGGGCTGAGATGAACCCAAGAAAAAAGATTCAGGGAGATTCCAGAGGCCCATGTGAAAAAGCTTATTATAGTTTCATCCTAACTGGGCAAGTTTTGGTCATACACACATCCTTTAAGGCAGCATTCTGGTATATCTCTTCACCCAAACAAAGTTAGTATTTCTAAGGAACCTAAGGACACACACCTGTTCATTTCTATGCCCAAGATACACAAGGAGAACATAAGAGAAGGTTTTTTCACCCCTGTAGGCATGCCACTGTTTTTCAGCCATGACTGAGGTTGTGGAGGGGGTCTGGTTGCAGTGAGGATGTCTGTGAGCTAGAGAGAATTCTAAAACCCACTAGGAGTTTCCCAAAGTCAAACACCAATGTAGTTTAACAGTTTTGAAATTGTGGAATGTGGTTTCCCCCATTTTCATTGCCATCCCAAGTCTTGTGATCATTAAGACTGGCCTTCTGGGGAAAACTAAGGCAGTCCTCTGTATGAGATGAGCGTTAATTTACATGGTATCCCATGTCCTCATCAGTTCAGGGGTTATCGGTTCTTCGTGCCTGTCCTCTGGGCTCTTAACTGGAGATTTATCCAGAGATAAGAAATCTGCCCATTAAATAGTAATTAATCTTTGAGCTCTCAGTTCTCTTAGCATTTTGCTTTCTGATTATCTGAAGAAATACAGAGCAAGCCCCTAGAACAGGATGACAAGTGGTGCCTGGAATGGAGTAGGGCTCAGGCCTTCAAGGGAAGGGGATGTGGGAGCTAAAGGGAAGATGACAGAGGAGTGGGGGAGTCTTTCTGGGTGTGCCATCCAAGACCACTCGCTAGAATGTTGCCCTGGTCTCGTGATGGGGCTTCCTGGTCTGCATCTTGTCTTCAAAGCTGGTCAGGTCCATTTGCTTCTGCAATTCTTCTGGGACAAATGACTCATGAGAAATTCATATGACTACAAGAATTGTGACACCGCCTCCTGTCTGGCGATGATGTGGATTCCGCTATTTCTGGGCTGGTGCCCACCTCTCTTGAGCCTTATCTAGTTCCTCTGATTAATGCTGCCTCCTCTCTTTCTGTCACTTGTGGCTAGCCCTAATGGAAAGTAGCTGTCTGAGGCAGCCTCCAGGC